CTCTTTCCCACTATGTAGATAGGGTTTTATATCATGTTAGGGTAATGGAACTACTAAATGCTTTATAAATAAAATACTTGTTTTGGATTCCAAACCATATTCTGATGTGACTCTATATCAAAAGCATAAGAAATTTGGGAAACAAATTATAAGTGTAAAATGCCAAAAGTTGTTCAAGTCTTCCTGAAATAACTTTTCCCTTATTTGTCTTGTGTCATGCAGGCTTTCCTTCACCGAATGATCCAATGTGCTACAGCCAAAGTGGATAAAAATGTCACAGAAGAGACAGTTAAGGTTAGTCTCCTAATTACATATTTCTTCTGTTTTGTATCTGATGTTTTATTTATGTATGTTTTATTCTTTTGCAGATGTTGTTTTCAAATATTGAAGATATTCTTGCAGTTCACAAAAACTTCCTGTCTCTGGTGGAGGAATGCTTACAGCCAGAACCTAATGCACAACATGAAGTTGGAACCTGCTTTCTTCATTACGTATGCTATCTTTTGTTACAGTCTTATTTCACTTTTTTCCTTTATTAATTGTCTTTATTAATTACTGTCATAATGATGAATGTACATAGTCATGAGGACAAAATAGGCTTGATTGCGTAAGGTAGAGTACTTTGAGGTCATTTCTTGGTTACTGTCATTTCCAGAAAAAAGGGGGGGGGGAACAAAGAAAAAGCATAAAATGGGCAAACTTTTGTTGTTTCATCATTTTTATATTCACCAAGCTAAAAACTGAGCCCTGCAGCGTGGGTGAGGGTGGTGCCTATACATGAGGCATGTCTCTGGGGGAGGTTCTGATTGGACGCAAGAGGAATATTTTTCACAATGAGAACAATTATCCATTGTAATAATCTCCCCAGGGAAGTGGTGAATTCCCCAACACTGGACACTTTTAAGATTTGGCTGAATGGGGTGCTGGGCTGTCTTGTCTAGACCATGCTTCTGCCAAGAAAGATTGGACCAGATGATCCTTGAGGTCCCTTCCAACTTGGTATTCTATGATTGAAATTCCCAGGTGATGCTGCCAGACTGTTCATAATTCTGATTTAAGACTGGACCTCAAATAAATGTAGGAGGAAGAGCTGACCTTCCAAAATGAAGACTATATTAGCTATTCGGCTTTGAAAAGTGTTCATTCTGTGTTTTATTAATTAAAAAAAATCAAAATGGCAAGTGAATAACAATGTATTTCTTTGTTTCTGCAGAAAGAGAAATTCCGTATCTATGATGAATACTGCAGTAACCATGAGAAGGCACAGAAAGTTCTGCTTGACCTTAACAAAATAAGAACAGTGCGAACGTTTCTTTTGGTAAATAAACTTTGAACTGGTGTTCTAACTTAATATTTTTTGACTGGGCAGTGAATTGTTAGCACTGTCACCTCCACCATGTAACCACTACAAGCACACCTGCAAGCGGTTAGCAGGCAGTTTCAGCTGGGGGTGGTGTTTCCAGAGGAAGGGGTTGTGTACATCATATTTTCACTGCTGCACTTGGATCCGTGCGTAATACAGCATTAGGCAGTGTGCCTTAAACTTGCTGGCCAAGAGACAAGAGTGTAAATCCAGCTGTGCCTGTAGAAAGAGAAAATAATAGGATAAGATATATGGGGAGGGGTAGGGAAAGAAATTAGAGAAAGGGAGCTGAAGGACTTGTCAGAACTTCTGAAGAGAGGGTCCACACTCTGGTACTGTAGCCACATCTGTGCCAGACTGAAAAATGTTTTGTTGTGGATGATGGAGTAGCCATCCTGATCTTAGATGCTGACTTAATCTGAGGTCAAAAGAAACAGCTGCACAATTAGTCTTTCACTTTACAAGGCAAATAAGGAGGAGTTTAAAATGTTAAGTATGACAGTCCTCATGATTTTCCCACAGCAAAACTAGTTTCCATGTAAATACTGAGTTTCCTAATAGTTCACATTGGTTGTTAAAAGAAGGATTCAGTATGGAATGATTTTTGTGTTTTCCTTCATGGTGACCTGTGATAACAAGGTCAGCTTTGAAATGTGGGACCTACTATATTGTAGCTTAAATGCCTGAGAAGGTGCCTTCAGATATGATTTCAGATTTCAGAGTAGTCAGATCCAATTACTGCGTTTTAAGACTGGAGACCAAATGACACTATCAGCAAAGCATCACAGATGTGCTTAAAAAACCCCATGATGCCAATGCTGGCAATATCACAAGTTTTATTTAATTTTATTAATTAATTTTAGCATGCAGGCTTTCACTACTGCTGTTGACAGAGTTCTTGGTGAAGTTGTCCTACTGCAGCTCACTAAATTTTTGAAAGATGCTGGGTCTGACTCCCTTCCTAGCTGCATTTACTTACAGCCATTTAACGAGCAGTATGGGAATTGCCGTATTGTAGGAGGTACCGAGTGACATGAAGCTCCATCTGCCTTTTTGCCAAGAGTCTCTTATTCGGCAGTGTTCCATTCATTGTTAAAAACAGCTTGAAAGTTGTCCTATTTTTCCTCAGCAGTTGACACAGTATCCCTCACCTTGCCTCAGACTTGGGGAGCTGCACACACATATGGTTCTTGTATTGGAAGCAGCATGGCTGGACTCGGGAATAAAGGGTGAATGCTGACTACAGAAACAAAAAGCAAAATATTCCAGTGAAAGACTGCAAAGAGCTGGTTTTGTGAGAAAGGAAGCCAAGTGTGCAGTTGTGTGTGGCAGTTCACGATGTGTCAGTGTCATGTACTCCTGGGTGCATGGACGGGGCTTCCACATCTGCTTTGGGTTCCTCATAGAATCAGAGCATGTCTGTAGAGTAAGTGGCAGTAGTCTAACCTAGAGACTAGGAGGTGTGACTGTTTGATTTGAAAGTACAATTGAAGCCTTCTAGCTAGACAGAACAGTTCAGGTCATTAGATATGTAATTAGCTATGAATAATCAGGAGCTGAAACCAAACTTTTGAGCCTTTAAATATAGAGACAGCCATTATATAAATCTGTAGTCTGCACTGCTGTTATCTTGCTCGGACTTTATCAGTAAAACTTTTTTGTTGGAAGGTTAAGTGAGATCCTTTAGGATAAAGGATCCTTTAGGATAAGACAAAAGCTGGTTAACCATGAGTACAAAGCAGAGACTTATGGGTGGGTGTAGAGATCTCCCTAGCAGTGCTGGTTATGGGTTATGTGCATTGTGAGTTATGTGCGGAGCGGCCACCCAGTTGTGTAGCCTCTGTTCCATCAACAATGTGTCTGCATCCAGATTTGTGGCCTGCGTCAGCATACCATCTGGCTGTGTTAAACTACTTTTGTTTAGTGTTCTCAGTTTAGACATCTTGCTCTTTGAAGCTGTAGATTATCTCATACCATTGCATCACAACTCCTTCTGATCTCTCCATAAAATAATTTCCATCATTACTTTAGGTCTTTATGTACTTACGCTGTAATTCTGGCAATTTCAAATATTTGCTGTGATGTCCCTTGCATACTTCGTTATCTCATACAGCCCCTATTCCTTTCTCTCTCTCTCTCTTAGCTGCTTTTTCATGGATGCTTCCACCCAATATCTCATGTATTCTCTGCTTCCATAGTTGGATGTCTTGACAAACCTCACATACTCTTTAGCCCACGACTAAGGATATTTTATTCATTGCACATCGTGTTTAAATATAGAAGCATGTGAACAGAAGACTTTTGCATATGTGTGTGTTAGGATGGCCATATTCAAACTTTTCAAAGCATCTTTGATACTACTTACTGTCGTGAACACACCTTTTGAAACCAACAGCACCTATAGTGGTGACCCTGAACTAATTTTGGTTTTGTTTGCTGAAGTGTGAAAGCATATTTTTAGCATTTTATTTACTGTATTTTATTTTTAAACTTTAAAAAGAGACCACTCTCAATCAGACTGGATGAAGAGGATACCTAGGGGAGATGCCTGCATAACATCATGGCAGCTTCCTATCTTCCTTGTCTTGTATGATGGTCAATGTACCTGCCTATGCATGTGTTCAAGCCTGTTCCTTTGACCTCCCTCATCACATATTTAACATATACATACATAATTTATATATAGCTTAGCCACTATTGCTGTTTGCATATGCCCTTGTCTTTATTTCTGATAATTTTCTTAGGATTTTTAAATAATTTCTGAAACTGTTCACACTCTAGAATTGCATGCTCCTTGGAGGACGCAAGAACACAGATGTACCATTGGAGGGATATCTGGTAACGCCGATACAGAGAATATGCAAGTATCCCCTTCTTTTAAAGGTACTTACAAGATTTTTATCTAGGACTTTATACTTCTGTATAAAAGTGGTTGCTAAGCATATTTCCAAACCGCAGGAACAATCTCTCTACACAGTGAATAATCTCTTTATTAGATATTGGACCCAGACCTGCTCTCATTAAAGCCAGTGGCAACTCTTCTGACATCAGTATTAAAAGGACTGAGGAGTTTGGCTGGGTCAAGATGATTAGCTCCCTTCGGCATCTGTCTTAAGGTTGCCTCTCCATTGTTGAATGGAAATGAGCCATTTCAGGGAGTTTAATGAGACTGATTTCAGCTGGGTTTGACCATGTCCTTGCTTAAAATGCTTGGGATGGCAGAGTTTGTTAGTGACATACTTTGATGATTCTAATTTGTCATCACCAAACTGTAAATGAAAAATATCTATGAAAATGGTTTGTAAAAAAACCTGTACAGTAAGATGCTGTAGGTGGTTCTATGCATGTTTATATGTTTATTTTTATCTTACTGTTACAACTGAAAACTTACTTAATGAAAAATGTTAAATGTGCTGATAAACATTAGATAGTCAAACCTCTGAGTTACTGAAATTTTTTGCATGTTAGGAAATAAAAGAATTCAATTATCAGGAAAGTAAATACTTAAAATTAGTTTATGCTTAACAAAATAAGGTTTAGTATTGTTTATTGTTTGAAACTATGAGAGAAAAGCCAGAGCAGATTTTGTTCTAGAAGCTACTTGAAAGCTGATTATTGGGCAGTATTTTTCACAATGCATGTGTGAGTGAGATCTGAAGCATTGCCAATTTTGAGGCGTATGCATTTCATTGCACTGACATAAAAACCTAAAAGTGAACATGTTAAAATAAAGGTTTTTAAAACAAGTTAAATAATATAATAATTGTAATGAGGTTTGAGTCATCCCAGATATCTGTGGTTTTACAATTCCCTTGGCCTATTTTAAAATTATTTTTGTCTTCTATTTTTTGAGTGAAGGATCTGCAGACAAAACAAGGGAAAATGACTAATGAATTATTTCAGGGATACATTGAAATTAATTTATTTATGTTAAATTTAAATACAGGATGTGGTGGCAGCAGGGTTAGGTCTCCAGGACGAATGTACCCACGCCTCAGTCAGGGTGTGCACCGAAGGCTGTCCATAGTCGGTCCAGCTGTAAATGAGTAGTTGGTAGTTTGGGATGGGAAATCTTAAATGAATACTGGCAACTCCACTTTTGTTTTTTAGTATGGGTGCCATTACCAGTAAGCATCTGAAATGAGTGAGTCACCGAAGCTATTGTTCAGTGCTCTGGTGTATTGCACTAGATTAAACAATAGTGTGGAGCTAAAAGAACATGGGTTTTGCCCTGAGTTGCCATAAAGGCAGGTGTTAATTTTGATGTCAGTAAACTAACATTTTTAAGCAGAATTGTTATCCTTGCTGTTGAACAGTTCCATCCTGTGGAATATAAAAACCAAAACAACCCAACCCAAAAACCAAAGATCACCATGAAGAAACATTGTTGGGGGGACAAAGTAGCTGAAATGCAAACTTTTCCCTAAGTAGTGATTATTTTTATTGTTAGTAATTTATTGTGGTTTGGTGTCCTAGTAGGACACAATGCTGGAGGGTTTATTACTTTTCCACCTAGTAAAAGACAAGTCTGACTACTTTTTGATTTTGTAGCCTAGTCAGTTTAAGCCTCCTGTAATACACATTTAGAGATCAAAGACAAGCTGCTTTTTTCCTTATTTTTTTAAATGTTTAAATAGGAGCTACTGAAGCGGACTCCGAGGAAGCACAGTGACTATGCGGCACTAATGGAAGCCCTCCAGGCCATGAAAGCTGTCTGTTCCAACATAAATGAAGCCAAGAGACAAATGGAAAAATTAGAGTTTTTGGAAGAATGGCAGTCTCATGTTGAAGGATGGGAGGTACTGTCATAAGATTTGTTGCTTTCTTTATTGAGGAGGGAGTAACAGTTTTCAACAAGCATGTATTGCACTGTTTTTGTGATCCTGCGATACTGTCAACTCCTCAATTCTGTAAAATCACAGGTTTTATTTGGGATCTACTCTGTAAATTAAGCATTGTCCATGACTAAGCACTGCTGCATAAAATAGCAGACTTCCAGGACAGAAGGCAATTTACATCAGTGTGTATGTGTGTACATCTATAAATCCTAATTTAACTGGTGCTCTGATTTTAGTGCTGTCAATGCCTGCCTAACATCATTTCGTCTGGTTGAAAAAAAATTTGGTAATTATTATTGTTTAAGCACTGAGTCCATTATTTTTTGTCAGCAAATTGAAGAGCTTTAATGCTTTAGTTTTGTGTAGAAATTATAGGTCTGTTCCCGAGTTAGAGTTTTCAATGGTAACCATAAGCGCCACCATTTCTCCTAGATAACAACAAGATCAAGTAGTTGTAGCACCAAAATTTTCCTTTTGTATTATTTTGAGCACTATAATTATTTTATACGGAAAGATAGATGTAGATACAGGTGTATGTTTAAGTTGCCTTGGGTGTTTTGTATTGAAATGTCTGAGCTGCCTGCACTGAGGTGGAAGGGAAACACAAGTGAAGTCCCAATAAAAGAAATATAAAGCAAGTAATGTAAACTTTTAAAAAAATAAATGAGTTTTATTTTTTTACAGAGGTTCTTAAGACATGAATTTCAATATGGAAGTAGTTCTTTGGTTTTTTGTATACTATACTCAGATGTGCTACTTCTCTTCCTGAGAGAGCTGCTTAAGAAATAGAGGAAGAGATTTTATCCCTTTAAAGCTTTGTGGAAGGCCTGCTGGCTGGAAAAGGTAGCAAGAACATGTATTTTTTGCACGTTAGTCTGATAGACTGAGACCTGATCTTTCAGCTATGTAGTGGGAAATGGCCTTTGTACAGTGCAGAGAAAACGTCAGGGACACTGATGGGACACAAAATCAGAGAAAGCTTTGAGATAGACCTGCCTGAACTTTAACTGACAGAGTTCCCCAAGAAGTCTGACAAATGAAAACTAGAATATTGACTAGAATAGTCAATTTTAGAGGAGATAATTCATAGTAATAGATAAAACAGCAGAAACAAACCCCTCAGTTTCTATACAGCTCCGTTCCCTCCCTATATCTCATGCTGTTACCATACCTGCTGTTTCTTGAACTTGCTGTGCCTAAGGCTGCGCTCTGCTTCTGCAGCAGTGGATTCAGTCTCCCCCTGCCTTCCAGAAGAATTCAGCAGAACCAGCCACTATCTGAAAGGAGTATAAAAATTAACACTCAACAAAGAACGCCCTAAATATTGCCCATGACACGGCAAAGGTATTTCCTGTGTGCTCCATGTGAAATCTCCTGATCTGTGGACTTACACAAACCTTTGGTTTGTTCTTAATTGAGTAGTGTGGGAAGATTTGATTCGTTGGAAACGTGGATTAAGCAACTAGTTTGACTTTAATCAAAATTCTTTGTGTTTCTTCAGTGCATTGTGGGATTTGAAATGTATCACTTAAGGTATTTTTCCTTTTCCTGTGTAGCAGCATTTTCAAGAACTGCTCTTCCATTTCTGTAATTGGGGTAGGTATAATTTAGAGCAGAGAAATCCTCTTCTGCCAGCATTCAGGGCACTATAGTCTTTTGGTACAGGACTGTTACTGTAACACATTCCACAAAAATTCACTGCGCCTCAAGAGAAGGAATTTTAGCGAGCACAAAGCTATATATAATTGCTGGTCGGTATTCAGACAAACCTTTCTATACTTCATTGTAATCCTCAATCTTAAATAACTTTAAAAAAAGCTGTTAAAGACAAGTGACAAAGAGCATGCACTCATACCATGATATTGTTTGCAGGCTTTTAAAACAGAAAAGACTACTTAGATAAAGTAAACCTCTAAATGTTGTAACAGAGAGGAGATCTAGTTGACCTAATGCTTTCCAAAAGAAGCAGATATCTTAACAGCTGCTTGTTTAGAGTAGGTGAAAATAAGTTTCTTTTTGTGATTAGCTTGAACACACTGTCATCAGCAATAACTTAGAAAGATTAGTGTATGTGAACATTAAAATGCATTAGACATGTTTGTGCAATAACTTCATGATAGAAGCAATAGCAAGTTAAGTGGTTACATTGCTGAATATTTTATGGCAAGGAAATTTGTTAAATAGTCCTTATTGCCTATCACCAATTTTATTCCTTCTATTATTTCCACTTTTCAGTTGTCTTCTACTGCATTAAAGTGATCAAAATTCTTCTACTTGCTTTCAGTTCCTGAGTTTTATACATATTTGTCAAATGCATCTTAATGAACACACTCAAGCACAAAGTTACAGTATTATTAACTGAATGCATTATTAGTCATGTAAGTTGGTTAATAACCGACTGTTTGCAAACTTCTAAGCCTGAAAAGGGAATCCACTTTCTTACATTTAGTTTCTTCTGAATCCTTAATAAAACATACAGTAGTAAATATGTTTGCTGTTGAAAATATATTAACAAGCACAGGTAACAATAAGGAAGGGTAACAATATGGACAGAAGCATGCAAAACATAGACTTCTTGTCCCTGTGGTCAGAATGTATTCTGTGAACCGTAACATAGTGATTTACTTCCAACTT